GCCCATTTTGAATCGGATCGTCAAACTAATATATCTGTATATCTATGACATGATGTATAATGAATATATCAAATTTGAACATAATCTGTCAAAGCATGTCAGAGATATGGCTCTAGAACCGCATTCAGTAAAACAAAATAGCTGCCAGTCACGGTCAGCCACTTTGAATCCAATCTGAAAAACAAAATGACGTGCATCAGGGACCCATAATGTCTAATGTATGTAACAAGTTTGAACAAAATGCATCAGTAAACAGCTGATCTCTTTCTTCCTCTCTCGGGCTTATAATAACGTAACGTAAATCAGTGAAGCTTTAAAAAATGATGCACATGTAATGTAACTGGTACGAAGCATATTCAAACTTCAGTTATATAAAGAACAAGCAGCCTCTCGGCTGAGATAGCTCCGCTGTTAGCAATGCACATTTCGATTAAAGAATAGAAGATATCATTAGAAAATGAACAATATGCATAGTATCAATGCAATGGGACTTGCTGTTTTCAACAAGAATTCAAAAATATCATTTTTGACCATAAATGATTGTGGTTTTTAACAAGAAGAAAATATCACTTTTTACCAAAAATTACAAAAATATTCATCAAAATTAGAGAATTGAAGATATCATCATGAAATGAACAAATTTGAGTGGTCCATATGTAGTATCTATATATGTAATATCAAAGCAATTGGACTTGTGGTTTTTAACAAGAAGTCGAAAATATCACTTTTTACCAAAAATGACCAAAATATTCACCAAATTTAGAGAATTAAAGATATCATTACAAAATGAACAAATCTGAGAGAGGTCCACATGTAGTACCTACATATGTAATATCAAAGCAATTGGACTTGTCGTTTTTAACAAGAAGTCGAATATATCACTTTTTACCAAAAATGACAAAAATATTCACCAAAATTAGAAAATTAAAGATATCATTATGAAATGAACAAATTTGAGAGTGGTCCACATGTAGTACCTATATATGTAATATCAAAGCAATTGGACTTGCGGTTTCTAACAAGAAGTTGAAAATATCACTTTTTATCAAAAATGACAAAAATATTCACCAAAATTAGAGAATTGAAGATATGATCATGAAATGAACAAATCTGAGAGAGGTCTACCCAAGGTACATATACACCAAGTATCAAAGCATTCAGACTTGTAGTTTTCAAGAAGAAGTCAAAAATGTAAAACATTGACACGGACGACGGATGACGGACACCGGACGACCACCGACAATCACTCATATGATAAGCTCCGCTCGACAAAGTCGACAGCGGAGCTAAAAAGTGAATATACAAAAAAACAAAAAAAAACAGCTGAGGTCCGATATATGCTTGATTTTGATGATTGTTCAGCACAAAAATGGCCACCATTCAGCCATCTAGAATCAGATCGTGAAACAACTTGATTTGCATATGTATAATATTATGTATTTGTGACGTTTGAATGTAATCGTTACAGAGGTCAATCCATAAGTTTTAGGACGGTGTTCGAACAGGAACTAAAATGTTGTAAAACAATTTTATTTTATTTTACCTCAACATCTCAATCTGTCTCACACCTCAACATGTCAAACTCACTCACACCTCACATGCCACACTGACTCGCACCTCACATGTCAAACTGACTTGTACTTCACATGTCAAATTGACTCATACCTCACATGTCAAACTGACTCATACCTCACATGTCAAACTGACCCACACCTCAACAAGTCAAACAGACTCACACCCCTCATGTCAAACTGACTCATACCTCACATGTCAAACTGACTCATACCTCACATGTCAAACTGACTCATATCTCACATGTCAAACTGACTCATACCTCACATGTCAAATTGACTCATACCTAACATGTCAAACTGACTCATACCTA